GTCACTCATTGCAAACAACACCAACATACAAGAAAACAGGCCTAAATCAGGATCAAATAATAATTGTCCTTTCTACTTTTGGTGATTTGATTCATTCCTGTTCAGAAGCTTTGACCTTTATCAACATTATTTCGTCATACTCCATTTGCATGAGTCATTTTTTCACATGCTACATCTCTTCTTCTGTTCAGACTCAGTGATTCAGAAATAGAATAATATGTTGGCCAAACGTTCATTAAGGATGTTTGTCATCATGTGAATTAAAACTGGTTATGTCCATAAACTGGAAAGAAGCTTCAGTTTCTTTTCCACTTGTCAAAAACCCTACTAACCTCTGGCTCTCTTTGGCTTCTCGGGAGCACATGAGTCATTTTTATTTTGAAAAATCTGGGTATCCTGGCTAATTTTGGTGACTAAAAAAGGTATTCCACTCCCCTGTATTCCTGACCAATCAGACCACTAGTTTCCTCTATCAGCATCTGCGTCCTGTCCTGCCATGCTGGCTCTCCCTTCTACAAATGTGTCGAAATGCCCTGTTACCACCTCTGCAACAATAATGTCCCCACCCCACCTCCTGTTTCGGGTAGTCCCAGAACTGTACGGTGGAAAATAGGCATGTCATTTCCGCCTTGAACAGTCTGAACAAAAGGGGCTAGTGATTCATGAGACACTGGATTCATGTGACACTTGTTAACAAAAATGGCTCCTAAGCTTGTATGATATAACTTAGAAAATATTTTGAATAAAAATACTTCTCACAATTTCCTTTCAAATTAATCTCTGACCAAAACTCAAATTAGAGTGTTCTCTATGATTTGAATAGATTTATGCTGATTGAACATAACAGACACCAAGACCAACTCATACTGCCCCCACCCACAGGAACAAACAGCCATTTTCAAGTGGTTAATGCAGCACGGCATGAGATCAATTATCTTACTATTCATGACATACCCTGTCACATGATTAGCCTAAAACAAGAGTCATGAGACGTGGATGACTGTGAATGCAGCGAGCGTGCCCACAAAGTTGCCATTAGACGTGCATCATGGGAAAACTTTGAGGCTAAGGGCATAGAGTTGTTTCACCTCAGATGGAGAAAACCCAAAGTCGTGTCCTTATCTCACAACTCCATCTTCACCACCTCAGTTTCCCTCTGGGCTCATGGACAAGTAAGAGCTGATTAAAGCAATAGTTTGACATTTTGGGAAATATATATGTTGGTTTTAGTGCAGACAGAGGATTAATGTCGGTTAACAAACCTTAGCTTAAAAATAAACTCCAGACTTACCCCAAATATTTCAAGAACACTGACGTGGAAGAAGCAGACTGTTTCCTGGTGATATCAATTTCCTTTTCCGATTTACACTTGTGCATAGTCCTTTTACTATCACACCATGTGTGAGCACATGGTTCTTTCAGCTAAAGATAAAAATTGATGCAAGGATGTTTTGTAAGGCTTATTA